CAAATATAACAGACGAGCACAATGCCGTTGTTTTGCGGGCAAGCGCGGTAACAATAGCCAGTCTGGCCGCTACAGCGTTTTAATAGACAGAACTGTTTACGTTAATTCCCCGTGTGACAGGACTGGCTAATTGCTTCAGTTCATTCAGAGACAATGGCTGACAGATGTGCCCTTGAAGCCGGAGCAGGCGGCTGCAGACTATGGGCTGTTCATCGCGGCCGGCCCACATTCCACGCCTGACTCACACCAGCTAATTTAAGACAGGTCTTTGTTTGTTTTCCTTCTTTTTTTTAAAGTCCGCCGTAACCGAGGGCAGCCAAGGGGGAGAGCGTCACCAGGCCCCCCCACCGCACCCGCCTGAGAAGACAGCAGAGAGGTTTATGAATGAATGGCACCGCACAGCTCTGGCCTGCATCCTGAGTCACGCTCGAATCAGCGAGTCCCAGGAAACGAGTGGCCTGGATCCCGGAAGGCGGCGTTGCGTAATCAACACTGGGTTCTACATTCCGCTCCAACCCTCCTGTCCACCCCCCCACAAAGACGCTGAGGTAACTACCGCCCCAAAAACGCGGAGTGACACTCCGAGCTGCACCGATGGGGGGGAAACTAATTAATTATGCATGAATGAAACGGCAAGGTGCGGCTACAGTGATTACGTGCAATTGCGATCGGAACCACGCCCCCTGCCCGGCTGAGCCAATGAGGGTCTGTCCAGAGGTGGGGAAGCCGCCAGCCCGGCATCAGGAAGGTGAACCTCGGGAAATGGTGCCGTGGGGTGGGGGCAGGGGAACGATGCTGGACGATGGGGACGATGGGGACGATGGGGACAATGGGGCGTGTTGACTAGGGGACAGGGAGACATGGGAAGCAGGACGCATGTGTTCCAGAGACCCATAAGGAGATAGAAAGCACATGATGCAGGTGTCTGGTTCAAGGCCAGCAGCCAGCGGGATCCAGGCTGGGGCTGGGGGGCGGGGGAGGGGAGGCATGCGTGGGAACTGGTAGCTCTGGAATCATAAACAGCTGGGGGCGCCTCGAGGCTGGGTGACTCACTGCCAGGAGACTCCCGGTGACGTCAGTGGTGTCAAATCGACTCGTTAATTAGCTGCCCCGGATGAGACAGTTGCCCTCCAGTGCACCAGGGGGCAGCGCTGACCTCAGTGCAGCGTGCCTGCATGTGCGCTCCTGCTCTCCTCTGTGAATTCTCAGAAGTGGCACGGGAATGCCGGAGAGCTCCGCTCTTTGTTGGTCACTCAGCGTCTGAGCACTGAGGGTCATCCCCCGACCAGGACTGCAGAGGCGTTTGGCGTGTTTTCGTGTCTGACTGTGTGAATGTTTATACACAACAGCGTGGCTGTACGTGCTTGTTTCTGTATGTATATGTACTTGTGTCTTGTTGCTCGTGCTTGTAATGCCTGAATTTACTTGAATTTACCCTAGCTCTACTCGCACAGCCTGCTCATAAACTTTAACGGAATGTGTCAGACTCAGACAGGCTGACTCCTGCTGATCAGTGACATCAGGGATCGTGAGCCAGTCTGAACACAGACAAACATGTCTATGGCAACATGCTTTGACTAAAAAAAAAATCTAACCTGTTTAGCATAAATGTCGCATTTTGAGAGAATGGTCCGTTATAATTCGCCATGCAGTTCAGCCATCATTGAGATCGTTTTACAGCTGAATCTGCTCATGGTGGAGGACGGAATGAATCCTCCTGAGGCGGAAAGGGGACATGGAGCAGCCTGAAGCCGCACTGTCACCCCGCAGCCCCGATGTCTGTGAGCATCCAGGCCGCGGACACACACTGTCGCCTGTGACTAACCTTGTGACTAACACTTGCGGTGGTGCCGCATTCCTTCTGAGGAAGTAATTTCACAAGAATGATGAGGAAGACGGGAAGGGGGGTCATGATACTGAGAATGAAAAGACGTCTATTGCCCCAAAACATAAAAGTGGGGCTTAATTTAAAAAAAAAAAAAAAAAAAAAAATGCATTTTATTTTTACTAGTGTTTGACCCAAAACCTCAGGATGGCACTCAGGGCCGAGTGAAAGAAGGCAAGGTAGCGATAAAACCTCTGGTACCAGTTACACCTGTCGGTCAGCAGGAGGCGCTATTCCGGCACGGCGATTCAATGAGGTTATACTGCCATTCACATTCAGTATGCACGCTCTTCCTCAAAGCCAAACGCGCTTGCTCTCACCATCCCGTGGCCTCCATGTGCTCCACTTGAAGCGAGCTGCATATGACCTGAAGCTCTACTGACCGGCTCTCGGCCGTCATCGGCACCACAGCCACGCAACGGCACCTGCCCCCGGACGGCCGAATCGCCGACGATCTGCGCCACCAGGCGGGATTTCACTCCCTACGCTTTCAGTGCTGGCGTCATTTTCAAAAAGCCTGCCAGGTACAGGAAGCTTGAAACAGTAGCTGGGGACAGAAAAGACCACCCCCCCCCCCCCAAATATGTCACGTTATACAAGACAAAAGGTCGTCGAATGAACCCAACCCTAAGGACAGCCTCGGCTGAACTCGGACTCTGAGCCGCGCAGCGGTGGCCGGATCGGACAGGTCTCCATCATCGGAGGTAAAACTAGAGAGTGGGACATGTTACCGAGGTGCGACCCCACCCACACGACTGCGAGCACCGGCAGCCATGCCCCCCAGCGTGGGCGGCAGCGAATCGGGGCCCGGGGGCCAGCTTGCACCAGCTTGCAGAGTTTGTGGGCTCCCGTTCGCCTCGTTTCTGGTGCAGGCGTCACAGTAACCTGGATTCTGGGGGCATGCGGGTCGCGATGAAAGCACAGCGTGCAGGTGACACGCAGATGGGACTGTGTGCAACCTGTCCAGCAGGAGGCAGAGCGGTTAGGAATTCATGTGCACGCCAGCAGCTTTAGGTCCCTTATGGAGGACTGCTGCACCCTAATCGATTCTTCCGGCAGAGATATATTAACAATAAAGCTATAAACTTTCCCTCCGCTGAGCAGCTAAGACGTAAATCCGAAGCACTCGTGAGCACCTTTATCCTGTACAGCTGAATGCATGAGAGCTACGCCTCAGTGAAATGCAGCCAGGGGGCGCCTGAGGGCTCTCTACCTGTCACACGGCCTCCAGATATGAGCATCCAAAGGGCTGGGGAGCCTGGAGCCCAGGAAAGGGAGGTAAGGGCTGCCTGCAGGCTATTGCATCCCATCCAGCCCTAGTCAGGCCAGGCTGGACGCTGGGGAGGTTGCAGGTCCAATTGGCAAACTGCCAACCCAAAAGCGAGCCAGAACACTGTACTCATCCATAAATACCAATGAAGTACAATGCAGTGCATGATTTCAGACAATGGCAAAGACAGTTTGATATTGGGGGGGGGGTTCTGAAACAAAGTTGGTACGCAAGTGCCGAGCCTTGCTGACAGCGGCGGCTGCTTTTTGCACGTTCAGCGCAGATTTTCATCCGTCTGTACCAGTTTGACCATATTAACGGTAACAGCAGCCACCGCACCTACCAAGTTGCAGTTTTGAGTAATAACAGTGAGTTCACGATTCCCCCCTCATCCCCACCCCCAAAACTAGCTGGGGCTAAGTAGTCATATCTGTAAAATCCGTTAATCGTGCTGATCACCTGTTTTGTCCTGGTTCAATCGTGTATTTCACAATAAATAACGGATTGGCCTCAGCAATACATACCGGTTTCACCATCTCACCGTTGCGATTCGCTCATGCACAACGAAGCAAAGTCCTCCTTTTAAACTTGAAGGGAACCAGAGCACCCAGACTAATGCCCTGCAAGATCCCGAGCGCATCCCCCAGAGCCGAAGCCGTGGGAGGCGCTCCGGGAGCGTTTCAGCTCCGTTTTGCAATCGTCTTAAAACTTCACAAGAGGCGTCCCAGTTGCTAACTATGTGGAAGAAATATTCAGCCTTTTCTAAACGGGTGAAGCAGCATGTGCAGTACATACGTGGATGTTATTATTTGGTTTATGAGGATAAAACATGAGAAGCAGCACAAGTAAACAATGACATTAAAATCGCATAACAGCATCAGCGATGATGATGATGATGGTGTCTGAATAGACCCGCATTTTGAACTGCTGGCAATGAGCCTTTCATGATCTGCACGCACCTCTCGTTCTCAGACCGCGAGGCGTTACACAGCGAGTCCGCGCAAGGTTTGCAGTGTCAGGTCGCATTAAGAGACGGTGCGTGTGTTACCTAAAAGCATACAGATGTTACACTTATGAGCCGCAATGGGAGGCTCGGATGACAGAATTAACGCAGGCTTCTCAATGAGCGACAGGAAAACTATCTGAGTACAGATCAGATTCGTATTGTGCGTTTTGTATTATAATATTTGCAGTAGCCTACAGTACAGTACGTGTGTCGCGGTTCTGAACATAGAACAAATTCAAGAAAATCTTTTGGCTTTGTTTAAACTTAGATCCCGGCTGACGGTGTCATTGCATCGGACAGAGCCAGTGCCTCATTAAATTGCACTATATTGCATTGTACCGAAAACCAGTAAAACCAATAGGCAGCGCCTGTAGCGCGCTGCAGACCTCGGCTGGCGAAGAGAAAGTGAACTAACCGTCTACTTTTTCGGACTTGATGTTTAACGTCGGTTTCATATCCACCGCTGCCTTCATGATCCCCGTATCCAGGAGCCGAAGCACTCTTACTGTATGACAGTCCCAAAACTATGATCTTCTCCTCCTTCTTCTCTTGTGGTCCCAAAAAGAAAAAAAATGAAATCCTTGAATTTGCTTAGTAAAACAGATGCTACGCCGTCTACTATTCTCCCACCAGAATCAGTAAATAGTATTTGTCGTACTCTCTATTAATAGATTTAATATCCTAGATAAAAGACTTCTTATTTGAGCAGTCTCTCTCTCACTCTCTCTCTCTCTCCACTCATTCACCCTCCCTTTTCTGGGCGGGTTTGTGTCTTGGTCTCTTTCAGGTCCCACGATTATGATTCCCAGTATTGCTGCTAAGGGTTTGAGCGGATGGTCGAGAATCAGCCACTATCCTATGTGCAACTCGGGTAGCTGAAAGGTGAAAATAAAGCGAAATGTATCAGGATTCAGGCGGGCAAAGATATTGCGGCTTCCATTCGCACAGAGACGGCGACAGATTCAGTTAGCGCTGCGAGAGCCGCTCATCTCTGCTCTTCTGATCCATCATCTCTCGTGTGTCCATACCTTGAAGGGAATATTATGTTTTATATATTGTATTTATTGTGTAGAAATTGCATTGCGTCTGAAAACTGCATCTGGTATTTTTTATCCACTACAGTCAGGACTTTACGCAGCTTTATTATTATTATTATTATTATTATTATTATTATTATTATAGGCGATCAAAGGTTTTCTTTCACTAAAACAGTTCGGTCAAAGGACATCGTTTGCTTCAGGCGTCATTTTTAACCAAAGCAACGCACATGTTGTCTTATTCATCCGTGCACTATAGTCATGAGAAATTACATGTAGGCTATACCTTGGACCAAAGAGGCGATGAATTTTGAAACGAAGCTGGAAACCAGGCCACAGTCTAGTTCATTAGGAAAAGCGGGCGGTGGGTGTTTCAGGTGAATCGAAACTACACAGGTGTATCCCCGAGTTCTGGTAAGGAGCTGGTCCCTGTGCGCCCCAAACGAGGCGTAGGAGTTCCCTGTCCGGGTCAGGGGTAAAACGTTTCGTTTCGTTTCGTTTCTGTAGGCAGATTAAACCTGTGGTCGGATCTGAGCGACGGCGGGATCGGGGTCATCAGGTGTCAGCCGGCGATGTAGGCAGTGAGACCTGCGATCTGTATTCGAGTCGAGAAGAGCCACTGGGGCGGAAAGTGAATTAAAAGAAGTCGAATTTATATTCATAGAAAACTCATATGAATGTAAATGACCATGCAAATAGAGCGCGAATTCTGTTAGGCTTCCAATCTTAAATTAGCATAATATACCTCTTTACACGAAGCGTATGATTGTGAGGGTTTCTGCATAATCTTAGGACCATCTGCAGACGGAACAGGTCCAGTTCAGCACTCCAGGCAGACAGTTTACCGTACCACTTAATTGTTGCTATTTTTAGTGCGTATTTCATACTTAAATATGTAGAGCTTTTAAAATTTTCTTTAAAATAAATTTTTCATTTATCTGCCGTTCCTCTACTTTGTTTGTTCAATGCATTAAAACTTGTGAAAATAGTACAAACATCTGCAATAATACTAATAAATGCTCTCTTGTATGTATATCGTATCTTGTGGGAGAATCAGTTTTAACCGAAACAACTTAAAACAACTTTGAAGTTTAAATTGCCGCACGTTTATTTTTATATGCAGCAGAAAGTAAAATTCGTGTCCGCTAGCGATGAAATTGCTGTCAGGAAGTGCGCGTGCGTTTGCATGGCTTTAGAGGCGCAGACTCGCTTCATCGTGCAATGCCCGGCAGGGCAGGACCTACAAGGAAGCGTCACCAGGCTCCGTCATGCAAGCAGATCTCTCCGGGAACAAGGCCCTCCCGTCGCCAGGGGAATGCAATAAATGGCGAGAAAGGCGTGGGCGTGTGTGCAGGGCGGGGGTTCCGCACGCCTGGGAGGTATTTCTTACGTCTGCGAGAAGCAAGAACAGCTCTCTTAATAGTTATGTATTTGTACAGGTGTGTATTTGCGGGTGCAAGTAAATTCAAATGCAGCAGTCTTTATTCTGCTTCGATTTGAATCTGTTACTGACTATGTGTTCCAGGCCCGTAGCCAGAAATAAATTTCATAGGGTGTCCGGCAATTTTCTGACTGGGGGTGTGTTTCAAAAATGTAATTCTGATACCTGGATTTGTGCCGTAAGTCTCACTCTCTAAACATTCAAAAATTGTTTTAGTACTTTGCATACCTCATTATTTTACCCTGTTTTAGTGCCATGCAATTACAGGCATGATTCAAACTGTCTGCCTCTCTTACAGCTTCAACCTTAACGACCAAAAAGGGGATGTCATGGATGAAGGAGCAGGAGGAGGTGAAGAGGAGCTGTCACGTAAGGGCCCCCCACCCCTCCAAGCATGGGAATTGTTTGTGGCCAACTGCCCCCCCACTCAAATCTTAGGGCCCCCTTGCAAGTGTGTGGTTTGAGGAGGAGGTGAAGAGGAGCTGCCACTCGTGCCCAGAATGAAACAGAAATTAATTAAGAAGATGAAAAATCTGGCGTCGTGCCCAGAAGGTTTAAGGTCAGCTGAGGTCATGACCTAGAGGTTCTTAAGCAGAGTCTCTTAAATTGAATTAAATATTCTCTCCCCTGCTCATTTCTTAAGTGTGCTGTAGCCACTTAGCATGTAGCTTAGCAGTTTAGCCACTTAGCAGTTACCTTAGCACTTTAGCCCTTAGCATGTAGCATAGCTCTTTAGCCACTTAGCATGTGGTTTAGTACTGTAGCTTGTAGCATAACACTTTAGCCACTTTAGCATGAAGCTTAGCACTGTAGCTGCTTAGCTTGTAGCTAGCCCTTTGTTTATTTGTTTAACTGTGATGGGGGAGAGATGTGTGCTTAGGATGATTAGCCACTTCCTCCTTTCTCATAACCCCTGGGCCAATGAGTCAGCATCAAAAAAAACAACAAAAAAAAAGAGAAAGAAGTCACCAGGGAACATGCTGGGCCGACTCCACGCGACCCTCCCATCCTCAGCGGCCCCCCAGCTCTGGGCACCCTGTTCTTCCCCCCCGAATCCATCTCCAGCTGCAGAAATAAACCCCTGGACATTAACAGCACAGATGTTTGATGGTTTCCAACCACAGCGTGTTTGGGTGCATGAGATCTCGAGTGTCTGTGTTTGTACATGTGTGCCCTCACGTACGTGCATGCTCAGTACCTAGGTGTAGCCCATGAGCATGGCCTGCATGTCATCTGATTGGCTATAGCGACACGTGGGAGGGGCTAAAGGCAGACTGCTTTAACCAGGAACAAAATATTTAATCCAAATTCTCTCAGTAAATTACCCAGATGTATGAAAGTGTAAAAATCTGTGAGCCGGCCTCATCAGATGATTGCATCAGGAAAGCAATTTAAAACTTGTGATCCCCTGACCTTTAAGTGCTGCTCCCAGGCTGGGCCGATGCAGCGAGCAGGCGGGATATCAGTGTGACGTTGAATAACCAAGAGTACAGAGCAGCAGATCCAGGGGAGGTCAAACGGAAGGCAGGTGTGAGGATGATGTCCTGCATGAACCCACACGCAGCCCTTAAAGTACCCCCCCCCCCCCCCAGGCAGAAGGAGTCAGCAAAATTTCACCCTCCCAACCTGCTGCGGGCAGGTGCGGCATCCTCTGCGCTTCAGAACTATCCTGCTATAGGGACATGTGACGCCAGTCCTGGGGGAGGCGTGGCTTTGGCGGCCATTAACCCCCCCCCGCATCTGACCGTATGTCTTTGAATATCTGCGCATCAGAATTATGCACGCATGGAAAAGCAGCATCTGTTGGCAGAATTTTAAACAAACCAGCTTCCAGCGGCCTGCCACCCTATCCCTGTCATCACAGTGCAGAGGATTATGGGATAGCCTCACTGGACCCCCCCCCCACCTTGGTACCTTGCACCCTTTCCAGGGGGGCAGCTTGGCATCTTCATGTGATATTGATATTTCGCTAATTTACCGTGATGTTCCTATTCAGTGGTTCGAGCTTAGAAAATGCTGTTTCTTTACACCTGAACATTTTCAGCATCATCACCGTGTGACGTCCCCATGTGACCGTAATGACCCAGTCACACGGCCCAGGTGTGCTCCTCTCAGCTCTACGATAGAGCCATACCCTAAAAGCATGAGCCACAATAGAGAATCCAAGTCCCTGACGGCGACCTGAAACGCCACGCCTTCGGATGTCACATGACCCCGATAAGGGTAATACCAAGCAGGGAGACATGGGATCCTGACCTAGCGATGGATCTGTTGGGATCTGACAGTCTGTCCAATCAGGGTCCATGTTTTGTCTGGTGACCATAACCCATCACCCTGTCATCTTGATAAAAATCATTAACATTATTCCCTGTGCCACAGAGAGAAGCTGAATCATCTCCAGCAGTCCCGCAGTGTTGGGATCCGTAAGCGGGTGCCATGGATATTAGGGTGAAGTTTTTCTCCTTGTTCCTAAGAACAGGGTCACATACGCCAATTTACAGACAGGGCTCTTCTGTCTGAAACGATGACGGTCAGCGGCGTTTCCGCTGTGCCACAAATGGCTTTGAAACAGCAAAAGCCAGGGACAAAAATATTGATTCCTGTAGGTCAGGGAGGGCTGCTGTCGGTCTATTTAAAGTCCTTGTCACCAATACAGAAGCAGCAAGACTGACGTCACTGTTTTGTGATGTTTTGGTTGCTTAGCAATGCCGGCAGGTAGTGAGGTGGGCATTTTCACACTCAAAGGTGCACAGGCTGGGTTCTTCAAGGAAAACACTCAGGGTCAGAGAGGGATTTGATCTGTAGGCTCCTGGGGACCTCAGTACTCAGGTGTAGCTTGGTCACTCTCTCACGTACCATCCAAAGGGGATCCATTTCTACACCCTATAATCACAGCCCAGACCCATCGCTGAGGTCAGCTGAGGTTATAACCCTGCCGTGATCAACGGTCGCACCCTTGTTATTGGGCTGATTTATCATAAAAACAGCAAACTGTGGGCAGGCAGGTTAACACTTCAAAATGCAAACTAATGTCCAGAAGGTTGTTGGTTCAAGTCCCACTTTTTGCACTCATCCAGTACCTATGAGCAAGACACTGAACCTGAACTGCTCTAGTGAAATACCAACCTGTCTAAACACAAGTATATCTGCGTGAATAACTTCAAATGAACCTGTCTGAAAGGTAGTATGGTAGTCTGTTTAAACGTGAATGCTTGCTGGGCAGGGTCTTCCCAATCTCCAGCCTTCATGGACATCCCACCAATCCGCTCCCCTAAATAAACCCGTCAGCAGATGTTGCTCTGCTGAAGAAGGCGGTCTTTGTGAGGATCTCGTCTATTTTCGGTCCTTGCATTTCCGAGCCCAGCCGCTCCGAGAGGTCAAGGTCGTACCCTGTGAGCCAGAGAGCTGTTTTGTTTCCTGCCTGACTATTTTTAGACGAAGCCGTTGTATGAATGAACGCAGTGATGTGTTTCATGGCCGTGGGGCTCTCTGGCTACACACGTGGATTCAAACACAGAAAGGTGCAGTCTTCATGTTTACTACCCCCGCGAACCCCCACTCTGAGCGATCGACACGCGTCCAGGATACCTGCATGATGCTTCTTGTCTGCTGCACCATTCCGAAAGGTAAACGGGAAGGCATGCAAAAACAGAAAGCCAGGGCCTGCTGATAACATCTTGTTTTTATGGTCCTCACCAGACATCTTAACATTAACCCTTCAGCTGCTGCCACTGAAATACCATAAAGTCCATTCATGTACAATATAACAGGTAAAGGAACCATTGCATTGGCATGAGGGGATTCTAAAATGCGTTTGTGTATGTGTGTTCCAGAACTTCACAGTTGCCAGGGGAACACCAGTGCACCCTGGGTAAAGTTTAGCCACCTACGCGCTTGGCAGCCCTGTAAATCTGCTGCAACCACTGAGACAGACATCAGTCACTGATGCTATCTGGCTCTGGGGCTCCAATCACCACTGATA